ACAGCTCATGGCTTCAAAAGAGACCCCATTCTTTCTCTTGAGGAAATGACAGGAAATAATAAAGAGGATTTTTGTCTTTCATCTTGGATGTTTATTCAGCCACAGTAGCACAGGGCATCAGTCAGAGTTGTGAGGCCCCAATTCCATGTGCCAGTTCCCAGATGACAATTCTAGATACACTGAAGACCAGAAGGAAACCCTCTACCTTGGAGAGAAGTACCCAGTCCTAGCAAAATCCATCACTTGCTGACTAAAAAACCCTTGGGACCTGAATAACCAGCAGTGATACTGAGGTAGTACAACATGGGCCTTGGAACATGGGCCTTGAAGCCATCTGTGATGGCTTCAGGTGAGACCCAGCACATTCTCACTTGTGATGGCTGTGGTAAGACTCCTCTTTCAGAAAACCAGAGTGACAAGTAAAGTGGACTTCATCTTGAACCTCAGATACCAGCTTGGCCACAGTAGAGTATCAAGTAGGCTCTTGAAGTCTCTGATTACAGGCCTTGGCTATGGGACAGCATTTCTGGACCTTCCCTGAACCAGAAGAGAACACACTGCCCTGAAGGTGAGTCCCAGGCCTGGCAGCATTCATCACAAGCTGCCTGAAGAGCCTTTGGGCCTTAAGTGAACATCAGTGGTAGCCTGGCAGTACTCCCTGCGGGCCTCTGGTGGTGCTGGCCATGTGGTGAGGCTCTTTTGCCTGTGGAAAGGGGAGGGAAGAGTAGGAAAGACTGTGTCTCATGGTTCGAGGGCCAGCTTAGTCACAGTGGAATGAAACACCAGCTAGGTTTCTAAGGTTGTTGGCTGCAGTCCCGAGCTCTTAGAAGGCATCTCTGGACCTGCGTGGGACCAGGGGAACTCACTGCCCTGAAAGAAATGACTTAAGGCTGGCTGGCTTTGCTTCCTACTGATAGTAGAGACCTAAAGGCTTGAAAAAACATAAGCAGTAGCCAGGTAATGGCTACAGCAGACCTTGGGAGAGATCCAGTGCTTTGCTGGCTTCAAGTCTGACCCAATGCAGTTTTAGGGGTGGTGGCCACAGGAGTACTTTTGTCACTCAATCCCCAGCACCAGCTGGCTCATCACAGAGAGCGAAATTTGTTTGGGAGAAAGTAAGGAAAGAAAATGAGATTACGTTTCCAGTAATCTGGTGAATTTTTCCAGATCATATCTAAGACTCAAAGTGGTACCTCTAAGAGTCTTCAAGAACTGCAGCATTACTGGATTTGGGGTGCCCTATTACTATAAGCATATCTAGATTACAATACCCAAGTCTTTTTTTAATACTTGGAAAGCATTCCCAAGAAGTGTGAGTACAAAGAATCCCAGACAGAGAAGACTACAATAAGTGCCCGAGCACCAACAATCATCAACTGGCATCAAGACCATTAAGGAAAACATGTTGTAATCAAAGAAATTAAATAAAGCACCAAGGACCAATCTTGGAGAAACAGAGATCTGTAATTTTTTAGACAGAGAATTCAATATAGCTGTATTGAGGAAACTCAAAGAGAGTCAAGATAACATGAAGAAGGAATTCACAATTCTATTTGATAAATTTAACAAAAAGATTAAAATAATTTTTAAAATTAAGCAGAAATTCTCGAGTTGAAAAAGACGACTTACATATTAAATAACTCATGATAGTCTCCTAATAGCAGAATCAGTCAAGCAGAAAAAAATGGAACTGAAGGTCATGATGTCAAGCGAAATAAGCAAGGCACAGAAAGACAAACTTCATATGTTCTCATTTATTTGTGGGAGCTAAAAATAAAAACAATTGAACTCATGGAGACATAGAGTAGAAAGATGATTGCCAGAGGCTGGGAAGGCAAGCAGTGGGTTGGAGGGAAGTGGAGATGTCTAATAGGTATAAAAAATAATTAGAAAGGATGAATAACACCTACTATTTGCTAACACAACAGGGTGACTATAGTCAAAAAATGAAAACTGTACATTTTAAAACAACTAAAAGAGTATAATTGAATTGTTTATAGCACAAAGGATAAACACTTAAGGTGACAGATACCAATTTCCATGATATGCTTAGTACACAAGGCATGCCTGTATCAAAACACCTCATGGTGGCACGTGCCTACAGTCTCGGCTTACTCGGGAGGCTGAGGCAGGAGAATTGCTTGAATCCAGGAGGTGGAGGTTGCGGTGAGCCGAGATTGTGCCATTGCACTCCAGCCTGGGTAACAAAAGCAAAACTCCATCTCAAAAAAAAAAAAAAAACCTCATAGAACCCACAAATGTATATACCTACTCTGTACCCCCAAAAATGAAAAATTAGAAAAAAATAATTTTAAAAATAACAATGGGGAAAAGAATTCCTGGAAAGGCACAGCTTTTTGTGGAGATAAAAAGGGACATATATACATATACTGATTCCCCTATTTCTTTTTAATAAATTTTGCTAGTGTGAATCAATTAAAAACTCGTTATTTATTTTTTAAAAACAATTTAAACTTCCCTTATTTGATTCCATGTAATTGTGGACATGATGCTTCCTGGTATGCATGTGTATTTTGTCAGAAGAGTTACCAACATTTAAAAAATATTTCAAAATCAGAGGGAAACAAATCTGAAAGTTGTCAATGCATCCTATATTATGTTATTCAAATGTGATGCTTATTTTTTCAAGTATTTTCAAAGGACTCATAATAATTTTTCTTTTTTTTTTTTTTTTTTTGAGATGCAGTCTCACTCTGTCACACAGGCTGGAGTGCAGTGGCATGATCCTGGCTCACTGCAATCTCGGTCTCCCAGGTTCCAGCAATTCTCCTGTCTCAGCCTTCCAAGTAGCTGGGACTACAGGCACAAGCCACCATTCCCAGCTAGTTTTTGTATTTTTAGTAGAGACGGGGTTTCACCATATTAGTCAGGCTGGTCTCGAACTCCTGATATCAAATGATCCACCCAATGTCAGCATCCCAAAGTGCTGGGATAACAGGCATGAGCCACTGTGCCCAGCAACACAATGATTTCTTATTAGATTGATATGTTTCCATCTGATTCTCAGGAGACCCAGTGAGATGTTACAAAGATCAAACCGTCTTTGGAAATAATGTTACTCCAACAATGAAAGGCGGACACCAATAATAAAAATCAGTTGAGTTATTTAGTATGTTGCTTACTTCATTTAGTTTCATGTCCTTTCTTCACTTGCCCTTCTCTGCATCTTTCTCATTGGGAGCAAATTAAACCATAGTTTTGTGACAAGCATCCCTGCAAAACCTCTTACCAACCTCAAACCACATGGCCCTTGACAATTTTCTTCTACATTAAATATTTCAGTGCCCAGCAATGAACAAAGGAATTTGTATACTGAATAGGTTATAAACAAACACAAATTTAACTTTACAAAACATAACTACAAAGTGGGATGGGGAAGTGTGCATAAAACAGAGCTTTGACCTCATCAGTTGTGACACTTAAGTTCATGGTCCTTACACTCTAAGACCTCTTCTGAGAATAGCAATCCCTTCTGCAGTCTTTCACTATCAATTGTAGACATTACCCACCACATTAGGAAAAGAAAAAGGAAAACTTTCTACACTCTCATGAAAACCTGTCCTTTTCCTACGAATACTGAAATTTGTATGCCAAGAATTATTTATCAACTACATATATCTATATTAAAATTGCACTTAAGAAATACAAATTCAGTGGAAGCATAAACTTAAACAGAACTTTGCTGCTCTTGGCAAGAGATGTGTGTATTAATTGGCTAATTTTCAGCACATAGATGAAAACCTATGAAAATGAAATCAGCATGGAAGCTTCTGATATTATAGACGGTCATTAAAGATTCAGTGGACATTTTGAATATCGCTACCCAAAGTGTGTTCCAGACCAGCAGCTTTGACAGGATCTGGCAGCTTGTTTGAAATGCAAACTGTGAGGCAACTATCCAGGACTACTGAATCAGGATACACAATTGGACAAGATTCCCCCGGTGTTTCTTAGGAATATAAAAGTTCAAAACTCAGATTAAGAGGATGAACCAGATGTTCTGTCCCAGAGAGAACAGGGAGTTATTTGCAGGAAATGTGAGCCTTTTGATATAAAGCTCAGAAAGCATATATGGATCAAGAGGTTAATTTATTTCAGGGAGCAGAAGCATACAAATGATAGTAAGAAGTGCATGTGATATAGAGAACTCTTAATTACTTGGGTAGTAAATATTTTGAAACAAAAATTTATAAATTACAAAAATTGAGTGTAATTAATGCAATATTTCATTTTAGATTTAACACATTTTGAAAAATAAATATTGCATTTGAAGTCAACTATTCAGGTAAAATATCAGGCCAGTCAACTAGAGATAAGCTAAGAAAAGAGAGAAAAAGCCAGAAATAAACAAATAAGCACATAGAAGTAGATATAAAATGATACTTTTTTTCCAATTATAGGCTATCTTCATATGTATTTCCTGAATTAACGAATGCCCCTTTTACTGCTACTATTTGTTGGACTCCCATCATTGTCCACATGGATTATTCCATTAGCCTGTTAGGTGTTCTCCCAACTCCCTATCCTACCTTCACTGCACCCCTTGTCTCCATGGAGGCCAGAGTGATTTTTAAAAAACTTAATCAGGTATGACACTTGCCCATTTAACACTCTCTGATAGTGCTTTAAACACATTCATTAACAGTATTGATAGCTAATAATTCTCATTACATTTAACATTGCTACCAATGACAGCTAATGTGTCTATAACGTTTACCGTGTGTCATGCAGAGTTTTAAGTAGGTGTTAACTAATGAATACTTACAAGCACTCTTTCTCCGAATATGATGGTTAATATCAGGAGTACACAAGAAAAAAATGGCAGTGCTGTTCATTAAACAGCCTGACACTGGTAATACATGACAGAGCTAGAATTAAAACAAAGAAATTTAACACAAAGGGTAATTAAACTTGTGTTACTATAAAGGAATAACCAAGGTTGAGTAATTAGTAAAGAAAAGCAGTTTGTTTTAACTCACCATTCTGCCTAGTGCCAGTGTCTGAATTTGGTGAGGGCCTCAGGAAGCCTACAGTTATGGAAGGAGGCAAAGGGGAATCAGATGTGCCACATGTCTTCTAAACAACCAGCTGTCTTGCCACAGTAAGTAAGACACTTACTCACTACTACAAATCCAGCACCAAGCCATTACGAAGGATCTGCCCCCAGGTCCCAAAAACTTCGCACCAGGTCCCACCTCCAAAATTCAAGGCTCTATTATGGGTTCGAACTTGAGACCGTGCCAACAAACACCATGAGGCGGTGTGGAGCAATGTGCTGTTGTAGTGAGCACCAGGTTGCAAACGAGCTGAGGCCCAAAAGGGCGTCAGCTCTAAGTGAGGACAGGGCAAGGGTTTTATAGTCTCCTACAAACAGCAAGCGTACCAGTCTGATGTAACTGCTACGTGGTAGACAGGGGCTCGCGCTCATGCTCTCCGTTCTCCTCGGGCTCTCGCTCTCTCTTCTTCAGGGGGTACGTGTCTTCCGGCCAGCTCTCTTCCGGCTTCCGCTATTGAGCTGGGGCACGCTGCTGGCGCAAGTGGCGTTCCGTCTTCGGACTGGGCCTGGGAAGGCAGAAATTATTCATCTTCCTAAGCTTTCAGGCCTCGGGGAGAATCTTTCACAAAATAGCAGGGGAAGACATTTCAACATAACATTTAGAGGAAACAGATACTCAAAATATATCACCCTTCTGTGTACATTTTTATTTATGCCGATAGGGACTTTTATGACCTCTCGCTGACAACTTCTCCCACCTAGATCTTAGCATTCTGTGCTTGATTAACTTTGGTCGGTACAATTGAGACTTATTTCTCTTCATGGAACATGACAGACAAACAAGTACTTACCTCCCGCTTCAGGTAAGTTCTTTCCCAGGTATTTTCAGAGCTTGTTTACTTGCTGGTCGCCTCTTCAGAGAAGCTCTTTGTCCACCTAGTTTAAAAGAGCATCCCTTATAAATCACTATATTTTCATCATGCTTTGTTTTTCATTAGAGTACTGATCAGTATGCATGCAGCATTAAAATGTGAAGTGTTTACTGGTATAATACATGTTTCTACAATAAAATTAGTCTCTAGTGCTCGCTTCGGCAGCACATATACTAAAATTGGAACGATACAGAGAAGATTAGCATGGCCCCTGCGCATGGATGACACGCAAATTCGTGAAGCGTTCCATATTAAAAAAAAAAAAAAAAATTAGTCTATAAAGGATGGGAACAAAGGAAGATGTTGTATGAGCCATAGGAGTAGCCCCACAAAACTCATGCACTTTCAGCCGAACATTTCCAGTCTGATGAAACAGAGAACTTGAATTCTCAGGTTGCACTGACAGCGAGAAAGAACGGATGCCGAACCTACTATTTATAAGCAGTGATTAGAAAATGACGGTCTGGATTAAATCTTCAATTTGCCTCAAATCTTTTTATTGTCTAACTTAATACATGGTGCTCGAGTCTCATCATATAAATACAGATACTCATTTTTGACACTATGGCATTCAACAAGCATTAGTTTATTAAAGATTAATTGCACTGTGGAATCTGAAAACATATTAACACAATTTTCAGAAAATAATTTAATGTCTTGCATTTTTAGTGGATGTTTAATCTGTACCTAATTTTGTATTATCAGGTTCTTGGTTATTTGGAAACAACCAAATAGCACAATTCGCTGAGCTATACAAATCTTCTAAATGTTGATGTATTTAAGTAAATAATATTTTTTAAACTCAAAATTATTTTCTCCACTGATTTGATCGGCAAATCCTTCAAGTTTGAAAAGTGTCAAGCACATGATGGCAAATGTAAGTTTTGTAAAAGTCTAATTTTTTTAACTTGAAAACTCAAATTTGTTTTTTGGTTTTTTTTCCCAGCTGAGGATTTATTGGAGTAAATGCAACCATATAAAAACATAAGTTATGAAAAACACAGTCACATGTGCCCTCCCCATACCCCCGGCCCAGGCCCCTAAAACCCTCTTCTTCGGGAGGGAGAGGAAAGGGGAGCCCCAAAACCGCCTAGGAATGCTCAGCCCCTGGGCCCTTATAGGGCGGGGAGAGTCGGTCCTCAGCGCATCCGGTAGTCGGTGGAGCAGGACAGCTCACACAGCTGGCCCTTGAAGTCCAAGTCGATGGTGAAGTCCAGGTCCCGATTGTTCTTGGAGTTGGGCCGCATGCGGATGGTGCCGAAGATCTCCTCACCTGTCTTCACGGTCAGGTAGTCCCCCATGTAGAACACCATTTGCTTCCAGTGCATGTACGGGGACTCTGGGCTGGTGGAGAAGCCTGTCCTCTTGTGGCAGCGTGTGAACTCGATGTTGAAGTAGGCCACCAGGGAGTGCAGGGAGTCATTCCGCTTCACTTGCAGGCAGAACAGCGAAGTGAAGGTCAGGTCTTCCACCTTGACAGTGTAGATGTCCACCTCCTTTATGAGGCAGGCGTTGGTGACCAGCTGTTTTGGGTCCACCACGTCCACTAGGGGCTCCTTGATGGCCACATCTTTGATGCAAGACATATCGAAGCCATACACATTCTCCCACCAGTGGATCTTGTAGTCTTTGTACTGCCGGTCCTCGATGGCCGTCACGTACAGCGTAGCTCGGCCTGGGAAGATGAGGCCATCGGGCGCCAGCCACTTGTCTCGGGCGTAGAGCACGGTGTTGAGCATGGACTCGTAAAAGAGGCAGTAGCCCATCCACTCGCTGATGATGATATCCACCTTCTCCACCGGGAGCTCCAACTCCTCCACCTTCACCTTGATGATAGTCACCACGTGGTCTAACTTGTTAGCTTTGACGATCTTCACCGCATAATTAGAGATACTGGAACACTCGATCCCTATAACCTTTCAGGCCCCGGCCTTGGTGGCAGACATGCAGAGGATACCAGTGTCCGAGCCCATGTCCAGCACCACTTTGTCCTTGAAGAGGTGCCGATTGTGAAACATGGAGTTGCGGTAGGTGAGGGTGCGCACCTCATCCGTCAGCATCTCCTCGTGGATGCCGAAGTGGGCGTAGGAATCAAAGTAGTAATCTTTGAATGTCATGCCCTCAGCATTGGGCTTCTCGCTGCTTTCGGGCTGGCCATAGGACCCCTCCATGATGCAGTTCGCGTCCTCGGCTGCTGCCATCTTCACCCTCACCTACTCCTCCTCCGGCTGCCAAGACCCCCCCCTTTCAACAAAAGACTTAACTATGGTAAATATATATGCACCCAACATAGGAGCACTGATTCATAAAGCAACGAGAATACTTCCATACAATAATAGTGGAAAACTTCAATACTCCACTGACAGTATCAGATAGATCATTGAGGCAGAAAATTACCAATGATATTTCAGTATCTGAATTCAATATTGAACCAATAGATCTGATAGACCTTTACAGAACTCTGTAGCCAAAAACAGAATATACACTCTTCTTATTGCCACATGGCACACACTCTAAAATTGGCCACACAATAAAAAAAAAGAAAACTCAAATTTTATCATTGACTACAAACACTTGTTTTCCTACAGGTGACATGTTCACTTCATCTGTTTTCAAGAAACTATAACCAAATGCAGAAATCCAACATAGTTTATCTGTCAAGTCATTCTTTCAAATAAAAAGAGGGTTCCACTTTTTTAAAAGTGGCTATTTTAATTTGTAGTCCAAAAAAAAATCACAGAAGCATTTTCTCTTTGAGAGACTGTTGTACTTTGGTATGCAGCAAAGTGCCTTATGAATACATTTCATTTCATCACTCAATGTACTAAAAATGTATCCAAATGTTGAGGGTTTTGCTGCTTTTTTTTTTTTCTGCTACCTGAAAGAAATGCCTAATTGAAACTGGTGGCTGCTTCTTTCTCCTCCTACCCCTCCCCCTCTCATTTTTAAATTTTTTTCCAGCAAATGCAAAGACAGTATCAGCCCTGTAAGTCATATTAAGGCACAGTAGTATGTGTAGTAGTTTCACCTACAATTGCTTTTATACCATTAGTCCAAATATCAGTACAATAAAAAAGACCAAAAATAAGTCTTAGCATTATTTTGAAAGTAATTTTACACACAAACTACCCGATCATTCTTGGAGTTTCACAAGCATCTATGGACAACACTTTGAAGACTACAACTCTACACTAGTCAAGTGAGAAGCAACTCCTTGTACACGAAATCTATGACTACTCTTGAGGTACTCAACTGTAGTTCACTGAGATTGCATTTTAGGAACTTTTAATAACGATGTTCAAATAAGCATGTAGAATGAAAGTAATCAAATAATACAAGTTTTAAAGTCTTGGAGAAACAACAAAAATTAACAATTATCTAGAGCCCAAGGAACACAATATCTGAAGAAATGGTTAAACGCCAATATCTATCAAGTAAGCTGAAATATACACCATTGACACTCTTTCTTGGGAGTGTCACAGGGTGATAGTTACTGTGAATAATTTCACTTTGAGTCAAGAACAATCTTCTTAACGGAAGTTTTTCTAATACAGTAAACAAAGTGAACTGAAATAATTAAGTGACATTTTTCTTCCACAAATAGAAAACAAAATATTGGTCCAAAACTGAATACTGACTTTCATAAAGCCCATAGGATAGTTGGATGTTATTTTTTTTTGTTATAATGACTAAATTTAGTGAAGTTATATAAATAAAAATTCTGTTAATGAAGGCTGACGACACTTGCTATAAAATATTTTTCATTAAATTATCATTATTCTCTATAAACTTCAGTTCAACTAATTGTTTTCCTTTTGATTGCACTTTTAAGTTGTGCATTAATTAGTTTCCTATTAAATCCAGAGTACACATTACAGATATAGAGATTGTTGACAACAGAAAACTTAGTTTTAGATTAGATATATTTAAATAGATACAGTGTGTATGCCTTAGCTTGCGTTCAAAATAGTAACATCACCTTTTGCTCACATTCAATAAACTATGATCTCTGAATAATTAGTTTTCCCTCTTCATTAAAATTAATTTTTAATTGTACAGGCAGTAAAATAACACCATTCTTTTTAATAAGGATTTTCTTCAAGATAACCAAACTTCTGCATTGACCATGACCTCACAATCTGACTAGATGAAACAATTACTATTTACAGTGTATCTTTGAGACAAGTCTATGTGTCTACAAACATAAGTATATCCATAAAAACATAGAACTTAGATTTGATTTCATTTTGTAAATATTGAAACTACACATTTTATTATTAGAACATTGTCAATACTGAACAACTTGCTTTGGAAATATATTCACATTGTTACACACACATACATATAGAAAATTAATAATATTGGTCACTTTTTTGCAACTGCATTGTATTCCATAGCATGAAAGATGATTTAGGTACTGTCTTATTAAGGTTGCTTCAAATGTATCATTATTATCATTATCACTGTCATTGTGTGCTTTATATTTTGTTGAAGATTGAAGACTTATTTTTCTCTTGAAGATTCCATGAAGCAAAGTTACTGGAAGGTAGATATGTAGGGAATATACTCTTAAAGGTTTTACTTATTTATTTATTTTTATTTTATTTTTGGTGGGGTG